CCTGCAGGGGATCTCAGCAGGAGACGTTGCAGTCTGAGGTTGTTGTAAATGAAGGGAAAGCTGTCTTCTTCCTGAAAGGAACCGAAGGCAGCTGCCCTTGATCCCCTCGGACTGTCCCCAGTCCCGATCCAGGCCAAAAGCTCCACAGCTCAGGGGCCATGGGGTCCCTGCCCTGGACAACGGTGATGAGAGGTGGCCTTGGTCACCCCAAGGCCATCCTGAGAGGTGAAACAGGCGGTGAGGATACGGCATTTTCTGTGAAGGAGATGGAGGCAGTGTGTGTCCGCCGGGACCTCAGAGGCACGTGATGCTCTGAGATGTGCGGCCCCTGATGCTCAGCCTCTGAAACTGCTTTTTAAGGGGTGAACTGGGCCACTTCAGCCCGTGCACGGCTGGAGGACTTTCTGATGAAGAGGCTCCTCCCCTCTCCCCCAGAAGAGGCCACCTCTCTAGAGGCTCTGCAAGCCCCCAGCAGAGAGGCCACTGGCCCTGGGCTGGGGCCTGCTCAGTATCCCCTTTCCTGGCTGACCTGGGCAGGTCAACGAACTCCTTCTGGTCCCCCACCCCCCAGCTTCCGTATCTGAAAATGGGGCTCAACACCCCTACAAGACAAATGGCGTGTGGCTGGCCCATTCGGGGTGAAGACTGCTTCTGCCCTCCCTGTAAATCCTGGCAGGGCAGGACCCATACCATGTTTATTTACCCAAATGTGAAATGACCTCGAGAATCACCAGCACTTGGGGATCAGGCACCAGGCTGAGTCCTATACCAGGATTGGCCCGTTTACTTCTCAGGGTGATTACGACCCCTGCCTGGCATTTACGCGGGGACACCGAGGCACTGGCCAGTGGAGTGGCCTGCGTGAGGTCGCAGAGCCCACATGTGGCACAGGTGGGCCTTGAATCCGAGCCATCTGACTCCTGCCCCAAGAGATGAGCTGCTTCCAGCAACGCCAACAGAGATGATGACACTAAGATAATCCACTTAGGAAGGATGATGGCTTCATGATTGACAGGTGCCAGCCCTGCTGATGGGGCCGGTGACGGGTGTCTGGGACGCAGTCAGCACTCAGCCATGGCTACATCCTTCTCTCTCCTGTCCCTGATCTGGTTCCCATCTGTGTCTCCGTGTCCTGATCACCTGACACTGAGTCGATGCCTGCTAGCCGTCTGCAGGAGGGTGGGGGCAGTGCCCACGGCCTCCTCCGTGGGTTTCTGAACATTCACTGAGCCCTGCCCCACACAGGACTCGGCTGGAGCACCGAAGAATCAACTCAGTCCACTGCTGGGTATCCAGGCCCAGCCCTCCTCCCAGCCGCTGGACCGGGCATCGGCAGCCCCCTTGGGCCTCCCCTCCGGGGTGCCTATGATAAGCCTCCTGCCTCAGTCTCCCCTGGAGTTGTCCAGAGCTGGATCTTGACTCCGGAGTCCTCCATCCCCAAATAAGGGCCAGATCGGGCATGTGAGGCCCCCAGAAGAGGGATGCACCTCATGATGGAGACTCCGGGAACCAAAGAAGACCCCCTTCCTCCCCGGCCCCTCTTGCAAGAGGAAAACCCCTGGTCCTGCTTCCCGTGTGGGGAGAAGCTGGGCTGTGGGCCAGGAATGGAGGTGCCTCCAGGAGCTGGAGAAGCTGGGATCATTCATGTAGTACAAGACTGGGAAGGGGGAAGGGAGAGAGAGAGAGGCCATGGAGAGTTCTGGAGGTGAACGTCGAAAGAGAGAGAACGAGACAGATTGAGGGAGCAGCTGATGGGCTCCGTGCTTGAGGAGACGCGTCTCCGCGATGCCCCGGGGAAGCACTCACAACGGCTGGAACGTGGGTGTTTGGAAGACGCAGGTGACAATTCGGAGTAAAGCGGCACAGACTCGAGCTCTCGTTCCGGGAGAAACACTGATGACAGCACCCTGCCCCACTCTCCAGCCACCCCCGACCCCCAGGTTGACAGAAGCCATGAGCACGCCACAGCCCTCCCCTGCCTGGCCCCCACCCACCGCTGCCCACAAGGAGAGGCTCGTTGACCTCGGCCAGCTCAGCCCCGCAGCGTGGCTGCGCCCTCCTCCCGGCTGTATCCTCCCTGCCGGGGTGGCTGCTCTCAACTTCGCCTTTGTCTTCCCCGCTTGCGTCTGCGTCCCCAGCTCCCGCACGGAGTCAGGGAGGGAAGGGGCTGTTTGGGGAACTTTAGCCAAACCGAGACAGGTTCACACTGGGAGGGGGCAGGGATTCCTGGCGGCCCAGAGGGCGGGGAGCCGCCGGCCAGCGGCAGGAGGGCAGGGGCTGGAGCCAGACTGCTCACCTGCCCGCCGCCCCCATCACGCGTTCACCCTGCTGACTGGGGACCTTGGGACTGGTGCCCGTGTCGTGGGCACTTAGCCCACGAGATTCTGGTGAGGAGGAAAGGAGGCAAACAGTGCTCAGAACACAGCAAGTCCTCAGTAGACGTTGCTGGAGCCGAGGGCGCCCACTCCTTGAACCAAGGAGGCCCAGCGACACGAAGGTCTGCTCCGCTCTCCAAGCCCATCGCTTCTCCCCTCGGCTGGCAAACCACCAGCCCAAGCAGGGAGCCCCGGTCCAAGGCCACGCAGAGCGTGGAGGGCAGAACGGGAGGTGGGCAGCACCCCGGGGACCCCCTATCCCCCATTATGCTTTGCAGGTTCCTGACGCTTGTTCTCGAAGGAAGGCTCACGTAGTGATGGAAACTCCGTTCTGAGTCTGCCTATGTGACCCAGGGGGGCACACAGAGGCCATGAGCTGCAAAACGGAACGTCTTCCCCTGCAGACAGCAGACCCTGTGGGCCGTGACCTCAGCCTCTCCTACAGTTGCCATGAACTCAGACGTCACAGACCACCCCCCAAAGCTTGCATGCTCTTTCCCCTCCACGGCCGGTTGCCCCCGAACCTTATCTGGATTGCACGGGACAGCGCCTGGCACACAGGAGGCATGTGATGTGTACCATCTGGGAAGGGGGAGACCTTGGAGACAGGCAACGGTTAACAGCCAGGGAGAGACTGAGCACTGTTAGGACCAGATGCAGCAACTCAGAAATGGACCAACACGGTCCCTTACGGTCCCTTATGCAGGGAAGCCATCCCGGGTTCTGCGGGATGCGTGTGTGCGTGCTAAGTCACTTCAGTCGCGCCCGACCCTCTGCGACCCTGTGGACTGTAACCTGTCAGGGTCCTCTCTCTGTGGGACTCTCCAGGCAAGGATACTGGAGTGGGTTGCCTGCAGGCAGAATGGCCTCTCCCCAGAAGGACGGGCTCACATCGTGGTCTTGTCAAGTTCACGGGGAGGGATAAAGGGATGGGGCAGAAGTACCTTTGTTTACACAGTAGATTCTCAGCTCTCAGAACACTTGGCTCCTGGGAATGACATTTTCAGTGGTTCTCAAACTGTCATGCCTACAGACATCACCTCCAGAGATTTCTGATCAGGAGGCTCTGGCTGAGACCCAGGCATTTATTTTGACAAACACCCCAGGTGGGTCTGCAGTAAGAGACCCACATTTCAGGAAACCCCACCTTTGGGGTTGAGCCAACAGCTGTTTCATGGTCTGTAGCTTTGGGTGGGCTTGTGCGTCCCCTCCCCGCTCCTCAAAGCGAAGAGCAGCCCATTCTCCACCCATCACCTCCACATCACCATGAGCCTGGCTTGGGTACCCTGCCCAGAGGACCCACCCAGCCCACATTTGTCCAACTGAGCTGAGCAAGCCTGCCTCTTTGTCTCCTGTGTGACAGATGGGGCAATTACTCGATCAATAAGCACAAGCTGATTTAAGTGTATCTTATTAATTATTTAAGTCATCCATTATTGAAAAGGTCACAATCTGTTAGCTACTTAAACGATCATGAACTAACTGGGCTGTGTCTCCGACAAAGAAGCCGCAACGGTTCACTGAGCACCTACTATGCGCCAGGCATTTTGTTTGATCCTCAGGACAACCCTGGGGTGGCGGGAGGTGGAGATGGGCAGTGTACGTCCTTATACTGTGCTCCTTCACAAGGATGGGAAGGTTAAGAGGGTGAAGGGGCTTGCCTAAAGTTACAGAGCTGGTAACTGGCAGACCTGGGGATGGGTTTCCTGTCAAGCTCATGGACTTGGCAGGGATCACCGTGTTGTAGGTTTCTGCACCGGGATCTTCCAGGTTGACTCAGTCCTGTTATGTCCTGGGATGAGACATACCCCATGCCCTGTATGCCCATGGCTGCAGCTCTGCCCCTGCAGAGTACCCGAGCCCCACAACTGACCCTGAGCTTGAGCATCTCTGCTCAGCCTGGCTCCTCCGGCTGGTGCCTGTCGTTGGTGCTGGCCAGCCGCACAGTGGGGTCCTGCTCCAAAATGCACACGTCCCCTCCCCTTTCCCTCCAGCCCTGCACTGCCCAGGGACCTCCAGGTTAGGTTATTCCCCATTCCCCACCAGAATGGAGACAAATAGATGTGAGAATTGCAGTGACTATGAACGCGCTCCTGGGGCAGGATAATGCGGGGTCTGCTGGGGTAGCCACCCTATAAAGCCAACCAAGATCCCACGTCCCTTGCCGACTTTCTTCCCTTCCCCTGAGCCATCACTGAGCAGCCTGATTGCATCACCCTCAGATGCCTTTCTGTGATTCAACATACATGCACGATGGAACACAGTAATATGCTTATTATCAAACTTGATGCTGGGAAAAAAACTTCTCCCTCAGCCCCTAGCAGATCAATTTGTGTCCTCTGACCAGACTGTGAAAACTTGGAAAGCCATCCAATTTTCCCTTTTGCCTTGGCAGCCAGGAAACTTGTAACTCCATTTCACGCTCAGCACCAACAGCTCTCACACCAGAATCTGAGTAAGCTCCATTTCAACCTTTCCATATAGGCACATGTTATTACCAGAAGCCACTTCAAACTTTTCTTGGCAAATAAGCAAATAGTCCAGTAATCGACAAGCCAGACCCAGCAGCAATAACGATTTGGCCTTTTCCAAGCTCGTCAAAGACAAGTGATGGTGGCCACTCACCAGGCGGACGAGCTCTGGAAGGTCATCAGCGGCGGGCTGTGGCTGTCTCTCTGCAGCGTGTGTACGGCCTGGGTGGCTTGCGGCAGGGAGCCTGGGGGAGGCTGGGGCTGCAGGGCCGGCTGCCCTGGCCGGGGGGCCCGGGCAGGGTTCCCCCACCGCCGGGGGTCCTGTTTCACCCACCGTCCGTGGATGCCCCACCGCGCCAGGTAAACCTTGCAGATGTCGTAGTTCATCGCCGAGTAATACAAAAGATCCAGGACCAGCAACACCAACACGAAGAAGCCGTAGATCCACACTCCCAGCAAGGCGGTGTAGTTGCTGCGGGCAGACAGAGAGGGGCTGGGAGGCGCCGGGACCACCGCCCCCCGGGGGCTGCAGTCAAGCCGTGGGGTCGATTAGAAGACGTGGTACGGAGGCTGCTTCGGGGGTCTCAGAGAGGGTGGTGGGCCCCTCTGGGGGGACAAGGAATCTTGGCTCCCTCTTCCCATGCCCACCCCCACCACTGCCTCTCCTCCACCTGCCCTGCTGGCTGCCTCCCAGATCCCACTGCCCTGGGCCCTGTCCCACCCAAGCACCCCCTCCAAGACTGCACATGCTTGGGTAGAAACCCCGGTGGGGGAGCCCCACACTGTTAGACCCTCTGGAAGGAATTCTCAGCTGGACATCTGGGGCTCTCATGGTGTGGGAGCCCCTACTTTCACCCTCCTTCTCTTACCCAATTTGGGTGCTATGCCCAGACTGGCCAGCTGTCTCCTGCAGGTGGCCCCCGCTTGCCCACCCTCCTAGCCCTTGCTGAAGCTGTTCCCACCACCTAGGAGGCTCTCAGCAGCCCCTCTCTCACCACCCCTCCCTCTCCCTCCAGCCCTTCCCATCTTTCCGAGCCCAGGGCAAATGTACGAAGTCCATTGTCTTAGGATGCACCGACCCAAGCTCCTGCCTTGAAGCATCCGCCTGGGGCCACCGAGCACCCTGTTCGCAGAAGTTCGTGGAATCCAGCCAGGCATCCCCACCCCGGGGCCAACTCCACCCCAGCCTGCTCCATCGCACCCCCCAATCCCCCTCTCTCAGAAGCCCAGGAATCAGGGCGTGGGCTCAGCTGCCCTCCCCCCACCCCATGCAGCAGACACCGGCCCATCTGCCCCACCAGCCATGTGCCTTTCCAGCCCACCCCGCGGCCGCTCCCCAACTCAGTGCCCCCCATCAGGCACTCCAGACTGCACAGCCAGGAGTCTCAGACCCCTGATATCAGTTCTCTTATTCTTCACCAGGCACTTCCGCGCTGAGGTCTAGTCTGTCCTCCAGAAGCAGAGATGATGGGGGCTCTGAGCCGTAGATGCCCCTCCGTGAAGGGGCGCTGGCTCCCTGCCACGGTGTCTCTGCCCTCGAGGAGCCTGGGGACACTGGGCCCTCACAGGGGCTGTACCTTCTGCCCAGCCGACCCTCTCAACGCCCCCAGCCCCTTTCTTCCTCCCTTCTTGTCTCTGACCATGGCCTTTTGGAGACTGCCTCCCCCAGGAAGCCTCCCGGACACACTGCTCCTTCTACCCAGCTGGGTCAGGCCTTCCCTCTGACCTGAGTGCCCTTCAGACCCTCGCCCACCACCCGGGGCCATGCTGGCCAGGTCCACGTGTTTCCTCCCACCCAGGCCAGGGTCTGAGTCTCCCCCGGGTGCCCAGGTGGTGGGGGAGGCTGCTTCCTGGCCTCACCATGGCAGCTGGGGTAGCTGAGCTCCAAACACTGCCCGCCCGGGACTGTGGCTGTTTAAAGGGACCGACTTATTAATCACTCAAATGCCTCCTCCATCTGCTGCCTGCTGCGGGCATCTGTGCAGGTGGGCGTGCGCAGGCGGGTGGCGGAGAGGAGGCACTCCCAGGAGGCAGAGGCGGCGTCCAGCCCCGCTGCCCCACATTCCACGGGGAGAGACCCGCCCCGGCTCCCAGCAGACAGGCTCCCTGGGTGTCCTGAGTCCCTCACAGCGGGGCTCCCTAGATGCTGTCTGAAGCCGGGGAGCACGCTCCTGGAGCCCAGAGGCCCGGTTCTGGCCTCTTCTCGGCCTGGCTTTGCTGTGCGGCCTGGGAGGACACGGGTGTGTCTCTGGTTCTGGAGGAGGCGGAGTGGAGCTCCTCCCAGTCTCGCCTTCCAGATTCTGGATCTTTCCCTCTTGGTTCACCCGTGCTCAGCCTCGGCCTCTGCAGTGAGACGGGGGCTGCTCCCCTCCGAGTCCTTCAGCCCCTCCCCGGGCTGGGCCCCGCTGCTGACTTTCACTCACACACACACACACACACGCATGTGCGCCCTCGGCCTCGAACGCCTTCCCTCCCCACACGTGGGCCGGGGGGCTCCTCAAGGGGAGGCGCTGCGTGTCCTGAGCACCGCGCGGGCAGCAGGCACGGGTAGGTGCCTGGGGCTTCCGGGCTGCTTGAGGAACGAGTAACCCCACAACTCTGCCTCAGAGCACCTTGCATCCCTCCCATGGCTCCACCTCCAGCCACCACCTCCCTGAGGCCTGCAGCTGTCCCAGGGGCTTGTTCTTGCTAAGGTGTGAATGGCTGGGCGGCAGTCTTCCCCACCACACCCCCAGCTGCCTGATTTCAAGGGGAAGCCAGCTCCGCCTGGAGACATGGGGATGTGAATTGCTGCCAGGAAGCAGGGGCTGGCAGTGTGGTCCGGCAAGCTGAGACAGGAGTCTGCGTGGACGTGGGGAGGAACTGGCTCCAGCCCCCGGCACCCACGCTTTCCCGAGCACCCCTCTGCACCGTCCCCTGGAGCCCCCACAGGGTTGCTACAAGTGCCAGGCTCTTCCTGGGTGGTTCCCATGGCAGCAGCCGCGGGGGCTGGGGGAGGGGGGTGGGGAGGGACAGGTAGGGCCAGCTGTGGGCAGATGCTGCCCCACAGAGAGGGAGTTCACGAAGCAGGACCACAGCTAGGCCTAAACCACCGGGGCTAGGAAACAACAACAGCAATCAAAGCAGCAGCTGGTGGGCATCGCTCTAAACACGTTACACATCCTAGCCCGTCTGACCCTCACGGCGTACAAGGGAGGAACCCTTGCTGCCGTCATCCTCAGCCCAGAGATGCAAATGGAGGCTCAGAGGAATTAAAAGAGTGTCTGAGATCTCACAGCCATGAAGTGGGAGAGCCAGGTTTTCAGCCCAGCCGTCCTGCTCCAGAGCACACATCCCTAACCACTGTACCACACTGCCTAAGTCAGGCAGGTGGCACCCCCGTTCTCTGGGCAGACAAGCTCCCCTCAGGCTTCTTTCCATGTTGCTTCTCCGCCTGGAACTTGCCCCCCACCTCCCTGTCTCCTTCCTGCAGCTATCACCTCCTCAGGAAGTCTTCCTTGATGCCCTGTGTTAAGTCCAATCCCTCTCCTTGGGCCCCCCAGACCACTGGGTTTCCCAGAACACACTCTGCTGTCTTTGCTGTCTTGTAGGACCATTTGCATCTCGAGATCAGATCTCCTTGAGGCTAAGGCCAGGGTCTAACTTACCTCTGTGTGCCCAGCGCTCAGGCTGGGGCTGCTTCAGACATTCCTTACACTAACACGTATTGAGCCCTCATAGCAAGCTGTGACAATGGCAGCCTTGATACTCATGAACCTCTTCACTAGATTTCACCTTCTCTATACATACTCTCTAGTGCGTGCATGCGTGCTAAGTCGCTTCACGCCTGTCGGTCTCTGAGACTCTACGGACTGTAGCCTGCCAGGCTCCCCTCTCCCTGGGATTCTCCAGGTTGCCACGCTCTCCTCCAGGGGATCTTCCCAATCCAGGGCTCGAACCCTTGTCTCCAGCATCTCCTGCACTGGCTAAGGCAGGTTCTTTGCTACTAGCGCCACCTGGGAAGCCCATATTCTCTAGTAGTTAATAGTAATACTAGCAATCACCACGCCCTGTGTCTCTGAATCTTTGCAACAATACTGTGAGTTAGGAGTCAGTCTCCCCATTTTACAGATGAGAAAATGAGGCCCAGAGAGGCAAAGTCATCACCAAAGCCTGCACAGCTGGGGAGGGGCCGTGCTGGGATTTAGACACAGGGCCATGTGACCTCAGAGTGTGTGGAATTGGGGGGAAATCCCAAGATCGAGTCTAAGACAGATGTCCAGGCAGGAATTCCCCACATCCGCTTGGCCCACGCGTCCTGGCTCACCCTCTACTGGGAACTGAGGACAGGGTCCAACCTCCCCCGCAAGAGCAGCCTGCATCTCAGCATGTCATCACCATGGCAAGCGCAGGCGCTGCTGGGCCACGGGTCTCCGCAGCCAGCTCAGTCTAGCTGGCCTGGGGCATTGGGGTGACAGCGTGGTCTCACGGCCCCCCTCCATTCAGAGAAAGGAGAGGGGCACGGGAAGGGGGTGCCACCTGTGCTGACTCCCTCTTACCGGCAAGGGAGGCCACCCTAGAGGTGGCAGCCAGCAGAGAAACCTGGGTCACGGACGCTGTCCCCAGGCAGCTCCCTGGCCTCTCCATGGTTGGCTGGCTGTGAGCATTCTGTTTTTTAAAATTTAATTTAAAATGCGATCTGGAAATTAATTTCATCCAGATGCAGGGGCCTTTGTTGAGCATGTGTGTGTGTGTGTGTGTGTGTGTGTGTGTGTTATAAAGGTCAGAAGATAAAACAGAGGCTGTTTTATGAAGCAAGATAAGAAGCCAGCCAAAACCATAGATACCAATTTTTCAGTATCTTTCAGGATATTTACTGACTCAAATTCTTTTGGTGCTTTTCAAGCAATAAACCAAGCCTTCTCTGATGGAGAAATCTCGCTGAATACCTTCCCGGACAGGAGCAGGTATGTCAGCCAGCTGAGGCCAGGTGGTGGTCCCACCACCACCCATGGGCAGTCCCGGGTGAGGATGGGGGAGGTATGTGCCTGAGGGCATCGTGTCTGCATGGCTGGAGCACCTCTGGGTTTGGGGAAAGGAAAGCTTTTGGAGGAAAGAGGTTTCACTGCAGCCAAGGGAAAACTGACAACCCATCACTTCCCATGGTGAGGCATTGAGGACTCTGCTGTCTTCTGAGAATCCCCGTCCCAGGCTCCCTCCTCCAGCAGCCCATCTGCCTCGTGAAGGAATACCCATGCGCTGCACAAGGACTCCAGTCCATGACCGGCTGCCAGAGGGACGACCTCTGCCCTCAGAGAGCACTGATCACTGACCGCACATGCCCCGTCCCACCCCATGCCCTGAACAGATGCTGCTGTTGCTCGTTCAGGGCCCTGGGTGGTCACTGCTGCTAGCGCCCTGCCCAGAACCTGGCATGGGAGGGTGTGCACACACTCCTGAACACCAGGCCTGCCGCCCGAGTGGCTAGAAGTGGCATCTCCCTGAGGTGGTGGGCTTGGCGAGGCTGCTTCCCTCGCTCTGCCTGCTTTTCTGCCAGGCAGCCAGAACCAAAACAGACCGTTCTGTTCCTCCAAAAAAACACAAGTAAATAAGTCATCAGAAGCACTCTCCTTTTGCCTGCCACCAGCCCCACCTCCTGGCTGATTCACTGGGTGGGGCAGGCGAGTGTCAGGTGGCCCTTGCATCTTCATAAAGCCCTAACGGGGGTCACAGCTGCACTGGTCCATCTAGATGGGTATTAACCTTCATCTGGCCTCTGGGCTGAGGTCTGGCACACTCCCCAGCATCAGACAAGCCCTGGTTTTCTAGAAGCACCCAGGGGTGGCAGAGCCCACTGGTGGAACAAGGGCCCTGGCATCTCTTGGCCTCAACTGTGGCTGCAACAGGTGACTTGACCAGCCTGGGCCCAGCCCCTTTTTCCTTCCTCTCAAAGTAGCTGTGAGGACTAACGAGACAACACAGGTGGCCTGCCCAGAGGGATCAGAGCCCCAAAGGGCAGGATGGTCCTAAAGGCGGACTTTACCTGGCTCCCCTCACACACCTGGAGCACTCAGGACCTCTCAGCCAGGCAGGCCTGTCCCACCCCGTTCACCACTGACCTATCCTCCCACTCCCACTGGCCCATCTTCCAGTTGTCCCCTCTCTGACACAAGGCCCTGGTCCAGCTCCCCGGGCTCAGACCTCCTCCCCAAGGTCCCTCAGCTCAGACGGCTAAGCAGGAGTCCCGCCAAGGCCTCTTATCTGCGCTCTGATCGGCTGTCCACTGGGTGACCCCGGCCCCCTCCCTCTGTGGGGCCCCTTCCCTCTGTGGGGCCCCCGTCTTGTTCAGGTCACCATCATGGCTTCTGCAATGTCCTAGGTCCTTGTCCCTGCACCATCCATGAGTACAAACCCAACTTGAAGCCCTCAGGGCCCCGTGCTTCCCTCAAGAGGAAGCCCAAACACCAGCCCCTCTGCCCCAGCCCAGGGGCCCCCCGCCCACCATGCCAGCCCCTGCTGCCTCTCCGCACTCTTCGCCTGGCATTTCATACTCAGGCTGCAGGGAACTCTGCCCAGAAATGCTCCTTCCTCTGGACTGTGTGACTCCCACCTCCTCCTACACTTTTGGATGAGGGAGACCAAGCACCACGCCTCCCTCGTGAGGCCCAGGAGAGCTGAACACCCTGGCTGAGGAGTGCAGCCCAGCGCTTCTGGGCTTCTCTCCACGTCTGTGGGAAGGGAGGTGACAGGAAGCTCGGTGGAGTGACGAGGAGGCATTCCTCCAGGGCGGTGCTCTCACCCAGGAGAGTCCCGCCTCCTGTGCTCTGCATTATCAGGAGACACGGTTGGGGATCACAGCCCATTAGTGGGGAGGGGGTGCTCCCCGCCTCATGAGTGGTGGCCAGTGTCTCACAATGCGCAGAGCGACCCCCAAAAGGAGGATGAGGCCCACGTGTCCACGGGGTCGTGGCGGGGGTCCCTGCTCTGGGGCTCGCCATCGGCCGAAGTCTCGGATTTACTAAAGCAACTCTAGATCCAGGTCGGCTCTAGGCTCCACCCCCACTGGCTGCCTCAATCAGGCAAATTATCCAGCCTCTCCACGCCTCACCTTCCTGCACGTCAAGGGGAATAAGGGTGGACTTCCAGGTGACTTCAAAAGGTTGACAAAGAGCCGGCCCATGCTGCCTGCTCCAAAAATGTTTGCTGAGGTTCCAGAATAAAAACCAAGCTAAACGTCCTCAATGTGGCCATGCTCCCCCAGGGAAGGGCTTCGTTTTGTGGTTCGACACGTTATTATTCGAAGCCGGGACCCACCGTGCTGAGACGGTGGAGAATTCCGCGTGCATCCTGTGTGAACATGCAGACCACAGAAACCTGTGGGTTCAAAACGAGGATCCCAGACGCCAGTCACCAGGGCCCTGGAGAAGTCTGGCCACCCTGCCCAGCCTCTGTCTTCTGTCTGGCTTTCAGCCGGCAAATACAACACACTTTGGGGTCCTAACCTCAGTCCTGGCACCGCCCTCCTGGCTTAGGAAATTAGTCTTTGGTCTTATAAAAAGGCTTGGGTCAAGTTCCAGGCTTGATTCCAGCCCTCGTGACAGAAGAGGCTTGCTGAACTACTTCACACAGAATTATTCTAAGGTCTGAGCAGATGGCAAGATATTCAAGGGAAGCACCCATGCATCTGAGGAAGGCAGGCTGGGGAGCTGGCCTTGGTGGGAGGAGGAGAGATTTAGAATGATAGTCAAGGAATTTGCATCTCCTGCCTGATCAGAGGGAAGAGGCAGCTTTCCCCAAGCGAGCATGGCGTGGTAGCAAAACATCCAAGCCCCAACATCAAAGACTGAGGCTCAGAACTTCCCCACCACCACCCCTCCCAGGGGTGATACTGATCCCCCAGTAGTCACTCAACAAACCCACTCTTTCCAAGTAGATTTTTTTTCTTACCATGAAAAAAATATATCTACCCCAGGAGTCATCCTCAGCCTTACTGGGAAAATATCTGAAACATCCCCATTCAAGTCAGGAGGGAGATCAGACTGCCTGACAATGCTAAAGATGGTTTTAGAGGTACTAGCCAACATGATTGGACAAGAAAAAGGAGTGAGGCACAAAAATTGGAAAGAAGGAGATGAAATCATTATTATTTGCAAACAGCATAATTGGACATGCAAGAGTCAACTGAAAAAGTATTACAAATAAAAGGAATTTCAGTAAGGAGCATGAGTAAAAAAAGTTATATTTAGAAATCATTAGGTTTTAGCATTTAAACAACAGTTGGTCAGAAGATTTAGTAGAAGAAAGTGAGAGTGACTCAGCTGTGTCCCACTCTTTGTGGCCCCATGGACTATCCAGTCCATAGAATTCTCCCAGCCAGAATACTGGAGTGGGTAGCTGTTCCCTTTTCCAGGGGGATTGAACTCAGTTCTCCTGCATTGCAGGTGGATTCTTTACCAGCTGAGCTACCAGTAGAAAAAAAGACCTCGTTATAAAATAGCAGCATGAAAAGAAATAAATACAAATAAATGAAAAGATATGTACAATATCTATATGAAGAAAACTCTAAAACACTATAAAAGAAAAACTGAACAAATGGAAAGGCACCCTGTATTCTTGGAAAGGGATATTCAACATCATGAAAAGTCCATTCTCCTTGAATTAATCTATAAATCCAACACAATCTCCATAAAAAAAATACTAGCTAGATTTTTTTTTTGGCAGAGAGAGTAGAAAAGCTAATTATAAAGTTTATATGACAAAAAATCTGGGGGAATAGACTAAGAAGACATTAAAACATATCACAAGCAACAGTAGTTAACACAGTGAGGTACTAGCAAACATAAACAGACCAATGAAAGCCACCATAATCTACCCACTCACATTTAGTATATTATAGTATACAATAAGTTGGCATTTCACATCAGTGATGAAAAGACGGACAATTCAGTAATTCCTGTTGGGATAACTGTCTACCCATTTAGGAAAAAAGTAAAGCTAGATTCCTAATAAACATCCACATGAACTACTTGCATGCACATTAAAAAAAAGAAATATTACATCCAAATAAATTCCTGACAGATCAAAGATCTGAAGGTAAGAAAATAAACATACAAGAAGTAAAAGAACACATGGGGGGATTTTTTTTATGATCTCAGAGTAGGAAAAGCCTGTCTCAGTATGATATAAACCCCACCAGACATAAAAGACAAAAATATGGGTACAATTTGACTGTATAATAATTAAAAACTAAGCATGAAGAAAAAAGCAGCACAAACTCAAAGACACACTGAGGAGATATTTGAAATGCATCCCATTCCCTTCATATATAAAGAGTTCCTATGGTTAAATAGGAAAAAGGCCGAAAATTAAATAGGTAAAGGCAGAGGACATAAACAGCTAGTCACAATGGCTCTTTAAAGTGTGAAATGTGCTCATTCATAATAAGATAAATAAGTAGGTACTGTTTGGATACCACGTCCCTTCACTTAGCATACTCTCACTGCTTTCCTACCAGCAAACTCCTCCTCTCTCTCTACATTCAGATCCCGTCCATCGGGGCCCTGGTCTCACGTGCTCCAATCACCTTAGGGAAAGGGGCTGCGTGGGAATAATTTCTGAGTCAGGAACGTCAACCAATATTTGTTGAACGACTAATGAGTGAAAAAGGAACTTGGGTCTCCTGGGTTCCAGCTCCAAGCACCGAAAGTCTTCCATGCTCCTGACCTCATTTCACTTTCCCATCAGCCCTGAGTGGTAGGTATCGTGTCGTGTGCCCATTTCTCAGATGAGAAGGCTAAAGTCCAGAGGACAGAACAGCCCAGAAAACCTGTCACCTGAAGACTTGCATAAACTCCTTCCAGCCCACCCATCCTCACACTGATTGCTCGACAGCTGCCTGGGAGGCTGGGTGTTCTGGCAGCACCCTGGCCTGACTGGGGCCCCGTGTGGTACTTACTTGTGCATGTAGCCCTCGGAGCCGGCCGTGAGGTTCGCCTGCATCACCGCCTGGAACTCTGTCTCGTTGCAGCAGTATTTGAAAACCGTGTTGTTATGGTGACAGCAAAGGATGAACGTTTTGTTGTCCGAGAGCCGGGGGCAGTGGAAGCCGAAGTGGTAGCGGCCTTTGTGGTCCGTGTACGGCTCACAGACCCGGAAATGCGCGGGCAAGGCTGGAAAACAGAGTCACTGGGCTTGGTGGGGGTCCCTCAGAGGCCCAGCTGGCCCAAGACACCCGTCAGTCCGTGAGGATCGTGGGCAGAGCCTGGTTGGCCTATTTTAGGGTCTTGCTGCCTCTTCCCTTGCCAGGAGGCCTCTGTGGCGCAGTGTGAGCCTCGCCTCTTCCAGGAAGCCTGCTCCTGTCATCCCCTGGGCTACCATCCTGCTTATACTGTGTCACTCAGACCAGGAGCTCCCTGCAGGCAGGGCTGATCTTAGCCTCAAGGGGATCCTCTCCAAGGCTTTTGCATACAGCAGGAACCCAGTTAAGAAACAACACGAACTGAGCACCTACTATGTGCTTCACCGGTTCTATCGGATTTAATCCACTTGGCCATCTTAAGAGGCAGGTCTGGGATCCCACTTTACAGAGGTAGAAACCGAGGCTCAGAGGCCGACAGTGACCTGTCTGAGCCGGCTAGAGGTGGTAGAGGGGGAATCCAATCCAGGCCTGCCTGGATCCAAGGTCCAGGACCCTCTCCACTCCTCCGTCACTGGGCGGACTTGGTGGTGGGCTCGCCACGAAGTCCAGGCTGGCCTGGGTGGTGAGTTGACAGTGTGCAAGGACCAGGTCCTGCTTGTGGAGAAAGCAGCATCCCCTTGTGTCTCAGTCTCCACTGAACTGACGCCCTAGAACCAGAAGCCCCCAGGGGGCTTCCTCAGGGGCCCCAGCTCTTATAATAAATAATTCAGCCCCCAGACCATTGAATTTAAACACAATTTCTACCTCTTCATCTTTCAACACATAAAAGACCATCAAAGACTCCATCAACAATCGGTGACAAAGCTTGCCTGGCCTCGGACCCTCATTCCCCTGACTCAAGGCCAGAGATGGGTGTTCAGCCACTGGTGACGCGTCTAAGCCCAGGACACTATTTACTAGTCGTGCCGATGGTGATAAACAGGAGTGAAAGCCTGAACAAATACAACAGTGGAAAAAAACCTGGAGCCCGCTGTCTCCAGCTTAATTAGTATCTTCATAAAAGGGACTGCTGTATCTAATTTGTATCGCTCAAAAGGGGCTTCGTAGGCTGAATACATTTCTCCAACCACAAAGGCTCCGGTTCTGCAGAAGCGCCTCAGTTGTTGAAAGCTCTGTCTCTGCTGAGAGGTTATTAGACTCCAGCCCACACAGCTCCTAGTGCCCGGGGCTGGCGTGGGGATCCCGGCGGGGCGGTGCTGGCCGGTGGGTGGGCGGGTCTCATGTACTGGAGCGCCAAGGCTGGCTTGGGGGGCTTTGTGAAATCCTGGGCCCCTTCCTCAAAGTACAGCACCCTCCTCTGTGGGGATGGGCAGGGCCACTGCAAGAGAAGTGTCCCAGCCTTTCAGGAGTCAGGGGAGCTCTCCAGAACCCCTTCTGAGCCTTAGAAAAAAAGAAGACCGTCTTAAGGACACAGAGGCCAGTAAGGAAGGCTTTGGTGAATTCACTATCTCACTTGATCTCGTGCATTCCCGGGTACAGAGGAGAAAACTGAGGCTGAGCGCATCGCTCTTGAGGTGTGGTCCCCGACCTGCCACGTCCTCGTCCTCCAGGGACTTGTTACAGACGCAGCGCCTGGAGGCCCGAGTTCTGAGACAGAAAGCGGGGGTGGGGAGGTGGAGGGAGTGACAGTCTGAGTCTTAGCAAGACCCGCAGGGGATGCAAAGAGACTTGGTTCGGGACCCACTGACCTGGAGTGACAACCCACCAGAGGCTGGAGGCGAGGGGCGGAGGCAGGAGGTGAATCCTAGCCACTGCTCTGGGCTGTGTTCCGGTCAATGAAAACGCCCCATCTTCTGGGGGAGTCGGCTCACTCTCAGCTTAGCTCACAGGGGCTGGGTGTGTCAGCAACTCCCGGTGGGGAGTCAGGAAGACCAGCTGGGGCCCTGAGGCTGGGCTGAGAGGCTGTGGTTGCAGGACCCGGGGAGGGAAGGGGCAGAGCTGGGAAGGGGCCTTTGAGCCGAGTTTTGGAGGAGCCGGAAGTGCCGCCATGGAGGTGGGGAGGGGATACGGACAGGTCCCCAGAGGCTCACCCTGGCCACCCCTGGCGCCGCCTGCTTTGACCATCTGACAGAGGCCAGAAGGCCACTGCTGCCTCCAGAGGAAGAATGTGAGGGAGCCCGAGGCGCCCTGGGCTCCGAGCTGGGACACGGGTCTGACCCCTGGAACGCGCAGGACCGCCTGAGCCATCAGGGCCTCTCTGCACCTCCTTGCCTCCGGTGATGGAAGACCAGCGGCCTCCCGGAGGCTGGGGGCCCCAAGGAGCACCCAGGAACAGCACACAGGGCCCGCTTAGAGCAGGGAGGGGGTGAGCAACAGAGTGGGCGATAAAGGACGGTGCTTCTGGCCTCAGGCACAGGCGCAGCAGGGCCCTGGGGCCCGAGGGTGGAGGGATGGTGGTCAGGAGGCCTACGCATCCTGAGTCACCAGGAAAACAGGCCCAAGCAGAGAGGGAACACCATGGGGACAGCCACTCTCTCGGGGACTGGGGTCTCAAGGTCCCCAAGAGGGGACCATGATTCCCCCTATTTGCAAAGTTCAGGGTATGCAGGGCCATCACTTAACAGCCAGGTGACTGCATTCTCTGACTACGTGGCCTGGGGCTGGTCTCTTTCCTGGCCTGAGCCTCAGTTTCCTGTGTAAACGGGTGAGGAGTCCCTCTCCTCCAGGGGACAAGAAGAGCTAACGCTCAGGAAAGCCACCGCGGGGAAGGAGTTCTGTGCACGGTGGTCACCCCCAGACCCCGGGGCCTTGGTCCAGCTTGGGCTCTGCCATCCCTGGGCCCTTCATGGCCTCCTTCTGAGCCACAACGGCCAGCAAAGGGGCAAGGGACCTGAGGCTGCAGGTTGGCATCCACAGCCCAGTCAGAGCAAGAGGCGAGCAGGGGTTATGTGCACACATGCCTGAGAAAGAGAGACAGAGACAAGGACGGAGGGGGAGGGACAGGATGGGGGAGAGGCGCACAGACAGAGGGAGAAACACAGAGCCAGCAGGCGCCTTGCTGAGAGCAGGGCCAGCCCTGACGGCAGGAGGCGGGTGCCCTTCTCCAGGTGGCCAGCGTCCCCCTGCAGCAACCGAAGGGCACGGTTCATGTTCATCTTGGTGAAGGGGCGCGTGAGAGCCCCCCTGCTGGGATCGGGGAGGGGCAGGCCTCCGGAGACTGGTCGGGTGCTGGGAGCCGGGGACCTGGCATGCTGCTGCCTGGGTTGGAATCCAGCCCCTACACCAGCTGTGCCGTCTCAGGCTGGCCAGCTCCCTCTCCAAGCCTCAGTCTCCTCCTCAGCGCAATGGGGCGACTATGACATTGCCTGACTGACTCGCCAGGCCTAGGAGAGAACTCACTGCGCATAAGGGCTTCTCCCAGGGCTCGATGGCAGCCAGCGATACCCCCACAGCATCCTTGAGAATCTTCCAGGGAGCGCCCTGAGACAGGCACACATGGGGCCTCACGAACATTAGCTCCTTACGAGGGTGACTCCCGTCAGCACCCACAATTCTGGCTGGGCTAGCAGTGACCCTGGGAAGGACCGGCCTGTCCCTGACCCCGCCGCCCACCTTCTGCCAAGCATACCTGCAGAAATCAGCAACGAGAGGACGGCGAGCACGTTCAGGGACTGCTGGCCACAACTGGTCATCGTTTGGCTTGCATCGACCCGTCGAGCGCTGCCTGTAGGAGATGGGAGAGACCAGCTGCAGGCCGCCCCGCCCGCGCGGCGGACCACTGGCTGTGCTGCCTGTGTCAGGGCCAGCGGGCGCGGGCGGAGGCGCGAGTGTGCCGGGAGCAGGGGCCAGGACGCGCATGGTGGCAATGCCGCCATCCAACTTCCTTTCCGGGATGGATGAGTTCCCCAACCAGTCAGCTGTTGCCTCCCTTTCTTTTCACGTCAAAATCAGACTTCATCAAAGGGGTGTGGATGGCTCAGGTGGTGGAAATAAGCAGCAGGCTGAGGGTGGTGGGCACGGGAACGAGAATGGGGGTGAGCGAGGGGACTAGGGGTGATCTCGTGCACCTGCAAGGGGCTGGCAGGACCCGGGTCTCCCTGCTGTGTTCTACTGGGGACTTCCCTTCACAGCCCCTGCCCTGACCCTGTCAAAAAGGACAAATACCGAGGTCCCTAAAGGAGTGAAGTTCATAGAGACAGAAGTAGGATGGTGGGGTGGGGGTCTGGGGGAGGCGGAGAGAGTGTTCCTTGGGGACAGAGTTCCCATTTGGGACGATGACAGAGTTCTGGAGGTGGGTGGTGGGGGTGGAGGAAGTGCTGCAGACCGAGGGAGCAGCAGGTGCAAAGGCCCTGAGGTGGGCGTCCCAGGGAGCAGGGGAGGATGGGGGAGGGGCGGGTACCTGCAAGCCCCCTAAGGCAGGGCCTTGGCCCTCCGTGGCTACTTTACATCAGACTGTTGAGGCCTCAGGATAAACCTGAGGGACAGGTTGCCTGACTATCATCACCCCCGTCACTCCCTAGGGGTCTGAGAGCTCAAGCTGGGGAGGAGACCCTAGCGTCCCCTGTGTAGTCGGCGTGGACTGCTAGAGCCCCGCCGGGGTTGTACCTGCATGTGGCTGGGGATGGGTTTGCTGAGCACCTACTATGTGCCAGGTTCTGGGCCAAGCGGGGTCCTGTGTGCCACCCTCTGCCCTCACAGCTCTCCCGACCAGGGAGCGCTCAGGGACCCAGCATGGGTCCAGGGCAGCTCTGAATCCTGAGTGGAGGCAGGAAGCTACCGGGACGGGGCGGGGGGGGGGGGGAGTGGGGGGCAACCCAGAGGCTGGAAGTGTCGGACCAGGAGAGAGGGTCAGACTCTCCACCAAACACGGGGCGCTCCCGGGCAGGTCCCTGCCCCTGCTCTGCGGCCCCTCCTCGGGCGTCTCATCTGCAGCCGGGGCAGGGAGGCACCAGTGGGTCAGGGCGGCTCTGGAGTGTGGTGAGCCAGAACAGGAAGGGGGTGGCAGGGCCGTGAGCCGGAGCCAGAACGCCTTAACAGGGTGCTTACTCACGGCGGCGTCGGCGCCAGTCCCTGGGGAGGGCCCCCGCCCACCCCTCCCCCCAGGCCTCTCTGCTCCCCCCAGCCACGAGCAGCCGGCCCCCACGGGCACCCAGCTTCTTAGCTGCTCTGAGTCTGGGCCTCCTCCCTGCCTTCCTCAGGGCGCTCCTGGGAGGTTGGAGGAGACTAAAGCTTTTGAAAATGCTTAGGGAAGGGTTTCGTTCTGGGGAGACCTAAGGATCAGCCGTGGAAAAGGTCCTGTGAGCGGGTGGGGAGTGCCGAGTCCTGAGCCCCCATTCTGTAGATGGGAACGCCGAAGGTTCCCTGAGAGCCAAGACGGGCCTCCAGACTCTGGGCTCCTGCAGGGTGGGGCCACCCACATTTTGAGCCGGGGCTGCGATCAGAGAGCTGGTGGGTTCACTGAACAAATGCTAGGGTGGGGGTCCACCTCCACCACGGGCCCACCCTCCCTCCTGCTGCTCCTTCTCCCTGCAAAGCCCTGCGCCTATGGAGGGGGTCTGTCACTCACACCTGGGGTGCTCTCCTCTCTTTCCTGTGAGACCAAATCCTGCACGGCCTTAGAAGCTGGTCTAATGTCACCTCCTCCAGGAAGCCTGCCTCGATTCTGTCAGCTGGAAGCAGCTTGTCCCTCCATTGAGGCTTATCATATTCCATCTCATCTTTCATTAACGTGTTCATTCAATGATTCACTTATGTATTCTCTCGACATCTACTCACTGACTCCCCAACTCTGGGCCAAGGCCTGGGCTGGGTTCTAGGGACTCAGAGTGTGAAGGATGAGGGCGCCCACCAGCTCTACCTTATGGGACTGGTCCTCACGCCCTGTTCTATCAGACCGTGAAAGTCCTGGGTCAGGGCTTGGCATAGCCTGGGTGACAGCCCCCCGCCTGGCTGACTCCGGCTCTTGGCTTCTTGGTGGCACTGAAGCAACAGTGGCCTCAGGGCCCGCTGTGGGTGTGAGGGTCCCGCCCAGCACAGGTGTCCCCATCACGGGGATGTGCTGTGTCGGCCGCATCCATCCCGCCGTCCAAAGGAGCAAGCCCACCTGTGATCTGCTCAGCCCCCTCCCCGATTCATGTCTCCAATTCCCCCCCACGTCCCCCAACGTGGCCGCCTAAGGATGAGTCAATGGGTGACGGACGCCACGGCCCTGCTGGTGGGACGAGGGTTGGGGTGGGGGCTGCCCACCTCCCCAGGCCCACCTGCCCCCCAACCCTGGGCAGCTCAGGTGTCAGCACTAAAGGCTGAATTTGTGGTGGAAAGAAAACCCCACAGAGAGTCACTGGGAACTTACATAAAAATTCCATTTGTCATGACCTGAGACAGCAAAGCTCGAAGCCAACCAGTGTCTCTGTTCCCGGCCAGGCCGGAACAGAGCGGCTTTGGAAACTCCACGGATGCCAGCCCCGTGGGGTTCCCACGAGAGGGCCAGCCCAGAGGGCATGCCGTCTGCTCACCCACATTCACCTCAGCCCCTCCCTGGAGCCTGCAGAGGGGGATCTGGGTGTGTCAGGCTGTCAGGTGCCAGCACGTGGGACCCACCCACTGGTGACATTTGGGGGCAGCCCCCAGCAGAGGCAGGAGTTGGGACTGACAGAGTGAGCAGCCTGCTCCCACCCTGCAGGGCTGGCCCTGCTTCTGGGGCTGTGCCCTGGGGCTGGCTCAAACCAGCCGGCTTCTCCATGAAAGTATGCTGGCTTTTCGCCACGTTTTCTCAGATGATCCCCGACAGCCTGATCAAGCAGCTATCAAACGCCCATCTGGTAAAGGACACCAAGGCTCAGAGAGGTGAAGCGACTTGCCTGTGGTCACACAGCCACCCTGTGGCTCCTCCAGGAAGCAAGCCCAGTCTGCAAGCAGGTGGTCCCTCCAGGCACTTAGGAGTTTCCAGGGCCTCCGGAGCCCCCCAAACCCCAGAAGGCACATCTACTACAGACACATTCAGTTTATCATGGTGGTTTAGTCGCTCAGTTGTGTCCGACTCTTGTGACCCCATGAACTGTAGCCTGCCAGGCTCCTCTGTCCATGGGATCTCCCAGGCAAGAATACTGGAGTGGGCTACCATTTCCTTCTCCAGGGGATCTTCCCGACCCAGGGATTGAACCCAGGTCTCCTGCACTGCAGGCGGATTCTTTACCAACTGAGCTACGAGAGAAGCCCTAATTGATTGTCCCGGGTTCTATTCCTCTAAGAACCAGTAAACTGTCCACCGTGGGAGCTGGTGGCCGATGGTAAAAGCTCCCACTGCGGGGAGAATGTTCTGGGTGAGCGGGACTCCCCGAGCGGACGGCCTCCAGAAGCACGCGTCAGGCGCGCATCCCCGCGTCTGCCCCTCGGGTCAGCCGGGGACTGCTGTTCCCATATCCGAGGAGTATTTTTAAACACCGAATTTGGCAAGGCCTGAGAAGGAAGGAAGGAGGGCATGCGAAGAGAAACAGAGCCGGCGAAGATGAATTAAACCCCACCAGCAGCAACAACAGATCGGTTCTCGAGTCAGCCAGGCCAGGCAGGGCTGGGACAGGGGCAGCAGTGGGGAGGGGCGCTGGGCCCTGGGCACTGGGCGGGGGGCTGCTGCCCCAGACCCCCGCCCCCCAGGACCCCATATGCCTGGCGGCCACTGGCCCAACACCTAAAGTTTCCTCATCCTCTCCCAGCTTCTCCCAGACCCCTGCTTAGCCTACCACGAGCTCCCCTGGCTGTGGCCAAGGGCATCAGTTCTTGCCTGGACCGGGTCAAGGGCAGCAGGGCTCGGAGGGCGGGCCTTGCACTTGGGCCACGCTGCCTGGCTCCACCTTTTGTAACCACACCCTGTGTGTCCTGGGACAAGTCTCCTTGGCCCTAAAGGGAGGATAAAAATAGCAGGTAATTCACAGAGTCCTTGGGATGATTGGACCAAGTGACGCATCCGAGGGCCTGGAAATGGGGCTTGGAGCTGAAAAGTGTCCGTGGGGAGCGCCGCTCCTCGCCGGCTGCCAGCTGCCTCTGCCCCAGCCTCGCCCACCAGGCCGGGTCCTGCGGGCCCAGGGCCAGCTTCCTGAAGTGCCCATCCAACCACCCGCCCACCTGCTCGGGTTCAAGTCCATGCTCTGAGGCCTGGGTGGTCTGGCCCTTGCTGCTGCTCTGGGGTTCAGCCCTCCAGGATCTGCCTCTCTTCTCTTTGCACACTCTGTTCCCTGTGCTGGGGGACACCCTTCCACTCTCCTGCAGGTGGACAGCCTGGAACCAGCTTTCGAGGTTCAGCTGTGGGTGCCCATCTCTCAGTGAAGCTTCCCTCCCTCTAATTCTCTCACTCTCTCGGGTAGGCTCCAGAGGCTGGCATGGTTGAGAGCATGCTGCCTGCTTGGTTTGTGTCCTGACTTGAGAGCAAACCCGTTGGAGAAAAACAAGTGGCAGGTGGTGGGTGGAGAACCCAGACCCCTTGCCGAGGGGGCGCCTGGCCGCTATAGACCCCGCCACCTGAGCCCTGTATTTATTTCACAGCATCAAGAACGAAGAAGGGCCTGTGACTAGTTACACACCTGTCACCCAAACACGTCCCACCCTGACCCATCCCTGCAGGGCTGCAGCTCTGCGGGGTGAGGACAGGTTCCATGCCAGCCTCCTGGTGCCAGGCACAGGTGACAGAGTTATAGGA